GGTTCTGAAGCAGCCCCCCATCCCTCCCCCCTCCCCTACTGAGTCAGACCAGGAGTTCTGCTGCATCTCTTATTTTTTTCCTTTGTCCTGAATCTTTTTGATGTTTATCAAATAACTTTGAGCCTCGGTCAGAAAAAAAGACGAGGGTTTTATATTTCTGGTCCGAGAGGAGGAAAGAAATGGTGGACTGAGGTCGACTGAAGTACTTTTTTATTTCGCCACAGGACGTGTTTCCTCCCCGCAACATGGCGCGCATCAAATCAGACGTCTTTTAAAAAAAAAAAATATTGAGGCATATACTTTTTATCATAACTTCGGAGCTACTTGGCCTAACAACACAATTTAAAAACTGGTTTAAAGTTCGAAGTCTCTGCTTTTCACTCGAGAGTCTCAGAGAGGGCAAATCTACAGGTAGATGATTTTTTTTCTTCCTAAACTTTATTTAGCTCAGCCATCATTGACAACGCTCTGCGGGTGACGTAAACGGCTCCACAACATGGCGAGGGACGCATAAATCACATGACACAACGAATCAATAATGAAACTCTTTGCCAACGCTTTTAATAATCGATTTTTATCGATTTTATCGATTGTTGTTGCAGCCCTACCTTACTCAGCTCTTCAGTCATTTTCTGAGCGTTAATTGTAAGCTGGCTTCACAGTTTACCATTACAAAATACAGAATACCAATAAAAAACTAGATGTAAGATTGTGAGTTTGGTGGAAATCAGACTTTAAATTTTTAAAACCAATCAAAAAGCACTTTTTGCAAATTTTGTGCTGTAGAAAAAGAAAAGTAGGCAGAAATGGGTGTGGCCTACACCAYGTGTCTCAGTGGTGTCCAGGGATTATGGTGCTATAAGCCAAAACATTTTGTGACTCCTGGTTTAGAAGCCAGAGGACCAAATGCAAAGACCTTGATTATGGCGCCCCCTATAGGTTGACATGTCAGATGTTTTTTCTTCTCCGTACACGTAACCTTTTTTAACTACTTTGTTAAAATATTTTTTGTAGGCCCTGCGGTTTGGGCTGCAGTATGAGTTTTACTGACGGAAGAAAAAAACTGGACTGGAGGCTAAATAAATTTATATAATAATAATAATAATAATAATCGGAACAGATACATTAGGGTTCCATGCTCCGCTGGAGACATGGAAACGCTGCTGCTTTGCAGCTGTGTTCCCCCTGCTCCGCAGGCTTGGACCCCTAATTATGAATTTTCAGCAGCAGTTGAAAGAAGGTCTCATCTATGCAGATACATCACAAAAATATTTTTTGGAAAAGGCCTAAAAATGTCGTTAAAATTACTTAAAGGGGCAATATCATGTAAAATCAACTTTTTTGAGTTTTACATCATGTTATAATGTTATCCTCTCATGAAAAACATGCCCAGAGTCTTACTTTGACTCAGAGTCTTACTTTGACTCAGAGTCTTACTTTGACTCATTCATGCATGTTTGAGAAATCCTGTAGTGTCCTGAGGCAGCCAGGCAGGGGAGCAAAAACAACCGGTTGTGCCTGGAACCGCCTTTTGGGACCAGCTCCTCCTCTGGGCTGTGTCTCCAAGCTGAGCTTCCTCATCACAGAGCACACCCACCTGACCCTGTGCTGAAATGGGTGTGACAGAAGCAGAAGGAGGTTCTTAAAGAGACAGAGGCCAATTTCAAGGTGTTAAGAAACAGGTATGAACAGAAGTCAAGTTTATTTTTTATTTAAGCATAAAAAACAGCATTTTATTAACAACTGAAGGTGACATAGATACTTTATTATGGTATATAGAATTTAAATATATGCCAGTGAGAAACACATAATATTTCCCCTTTTTTAAAAGAGTTCAAAAGCAATTCTAGACAATAACCACCAATGTAATAAGATAAATACTTTAAATGCAAACTAGTAACTTGATAAGATGTCAGTTTAAGATCATTTTATTTGAATAAAACATTTATGAAAACATCTGAAATATGAGTTTCTTTTGGTTATGATAGTTTTTCAGAAATCCACAGTCTGTTTTGGCTGGGAGGCGTTTGCATGAAGCTATCTGACAGCACAAAAACACGTAAATAGGAAAAATCATCATCTGTCCTGGGAAGAAAGTCATTTCTTCTTCCTGAAATGTGAATTGGATAAATGGCATTTTAGACATCTATAATGTTTGTGTTTTTATTGCATGGGAAATCTTACGTAATGTATAAATGTCACATGACTATCAAGTCAAAATGTTTAAAAATGAACTTAAAGGAGTTTTAGATGTTTTAAATGCAGGTTTCAATAATCGGGACCTTTCACTTGCAATGTTTTTTACATTTTTTAATTAACTAGTAAAGATTCTGATTAGAAGGGAAGCTGTTATTTATGTCTAAATTCATAATTACAGATAGCAGTATGGTTTGATTATATGCAAGAATGGCTTCCCATATATTCAATCACGTATGTCTATTTAATGGAATGCGGTGCACATCTCAAAGGGCTTATTTATCAGCAACAGCTTTGCCACTTTCATTTGCCATTCTGTGTGTGTTCATTAACTGGCAGTTTGATTATTGTGTGGCTTCAGTCTGCTTAAGCTGTTGTGTTAGTAATAAATAAAGTTGACTTCATAAAGTTGCATTGAAATTAACTTTATAAAGATGTATTAATAAAACAGAACAAGCAAACCTCTCACTTTTATTAGTCTGCCATTAGTTGTGTAACTTTTTAGTTGTTTCTTCAAATATTTTTCTCCAGTTTTTAACGTTAAAATTCAGTGATCTATGTTTTAACTACTTGTTGGGACAGTTTTGGTGAAATAGAAAAGCAAATCTGAATGTTCTTTGAGTTTGTTGATTAATAGTAGCCTTTTAGAGTGACTTTTTGTCACCAAACTAACAAAATGTTGCCTTTCGTATGCTAAACCTCTAAACATGTAAATAAAAGTTAGCAGAAGCTAATACTAACGGCTAAACTTTAAGACGACTGCCACTCACTTTGCGATTCATGTATTCATCTCCTTGGTGTTGAAGACTGGTGGGACTGGCACAAACCTGTTGTTGGATTTAAAGATGGCAAAACTTTATGTAGCGAAAGCTAATCTGTGTGCTTTGTTCAAAGATAGTGAAAAGGCTAATCTGCTAAACCAAAAATTTGTTCCGCTAATAGCCGTTTCCGCTACTGCCTATGTATTTACATGTAACAAATTAGATGTATGGCTTGTGTACAGACTGAAAAACAAAGTCAATAATAATGACTTGGACTTAAATGAGCTCTGCTTTCATAGTGTACAGACTTGAAGTCATGTGTGAGACTCTACTCAGAAGGATTTTTCTTAATGCTGTGTGCAGCCCCAGCTCTGTGTGGGTATGTTGGGGGGGTGAAGCTACTGTCTCCAGCTCTTGCTGCGGGGCTTTTACATGTTATCTTTCACTGCCTGCACGTCTCTGACTTCACCCTCTCTCTTTCTTTTATATCCTGTCTATTTCTTGAGGGTATATCCTCCCTCTGAGCTGGGATGATTCCTCCTCATGAATTTTTCTCTTTGCTGGCTGTAAGTTCTCCACAACAGCAAAACTCTCTGCTGCTCGTTTCTTCACTTGTCAGTTTTAAGTTCAGTCACTGAGAGTAAACATCAGAACCAACTAAGATGTTAAGCTGATATTGAGAAGTCATAGAAAATATTATCAGTCAAGTACGGAGGAGTCCAATTAAAACATGTCTCTGAAACAAAAGCAATATATTTTTTTCCTGATCCATGAATGCATCATAGCTAACCACTCACTCACTCTAGCAATAACACGTCTTTTGTCTAAAAGTTGTACTGACTTTAGACTCAAAGGGATTTATTTTAATACCTGTAGGCATTTAAAGAAATAAGTCAGACTGACCAGAGACAAAGAAGCTGCTAAAAGGAAACAATTTTCAACAGGAATGTCTGCAGCTCTTTTTATCGCTCAGTAACAAGCTGATGTTTAACTACAATATTTCCACTTAAACATTTGGCCAGTGGTGAGCATGGTTCCACAAATCAGCTAACAGCCAAAAAACAATTTTTTTGTTTAGCGGATTAGCTTTTTCACGAAATTTGAAAAAATGTTAGCGGACCAGTTAGCTGGTAAATTATTCATGTATAATACGATCTCGAGTATAATACGATCAAAATTTTTTGAGCTTAAAAAGCATTTAAAATCTAATTATCAATAACTTGTGTATAATAC